CAGGGAAGCATCCATATCACAAATATTGTTTTAAAGAGTTAAGCCATCCTAAATGTGAAGTTTGTCATCATTATGTAAGTTCGTCTTCCTCTTCCTTTGCTTATTCATACTGTCCTACTTTGTTATTAGTTTTCTTCAATAGTTAGGGTCACAAGGTTTAAAAAATGGTCCGTTACTGCAAAAACAGCCGTGTCTATTACAATTGACCTATAATCTTTAACACATGATAATTTATTTCACTTGCAGATACCTATAAATGGTTCTGGTTTGATTGAGTATAGGTGTCACCCTTATTGGAACCAAAAGTACTGTCCATCTCATGAATATGACAATACTGCTCGCTGTTGTAGCTGCGAAAGATTAGAGGTACTAATATATTTTATCATTTCTTTTTTAAGATCTAAGAGATGAGATTTTGCTAAATATATGATTCTCCCTTATTCTGATATGTAAATTTTGAATGATCTTTTCCTTGAAGTCTCGTGGAGAGAGATACTTTAGATTGGATGATGGACGGATTCTGTGCTTTGAGTGCATGGAATCTGCTATAACAGATACCGGTGAATGTCAACCTCTTTATCATGCTATTCGAGACTATTATGAAGGAATGCATATGAGAATTGATCAACAAATCCCGATGCTTCTAGTTGGGAGAGAAGCACTTAATGAAGCCATTGTTGGAGAAAAGAATGTAATGAAACATCCATTCTTTGTTTTTCAGTCATTGAAATTAATCTAATTCCTCTTACTCTTTCTAATTGGATAGTTTCGTCCAGGGTTACCATCATGTTCCGGAAACAAGAGGCTTATGCCTTTCAGAAGAGCAAACTGTCACCAGTGTATGATTTTCAAAGTCTTTTGCTTTTGTTTTATCAGATTAGAGAATGTTGAAACGCGCTTAAATGTAGTTACATGTATTTCTGATTTTCTGTTCTTTCAGGTACATAGATGGTCAAAAATAGGTGGCCATCGATTAATTGGGATGCGAGGTCAACCTCAAAAGTTGATTCGAAAATGTGAAGTTACAGCTATTCTTGTTCTCTATGGTCTTCCGAGGTAGCTACTTTATGCTTGTCACGATGTTAAGACTTTATAACAAGAAGTCTGATATTTTTATGGGATGCAGGTTACTCACAGGTGCTATCCTCGCGCACGAGTTGATGCACGGTTGGTTACGCCTTAAAGGTTATATATTTTATATACATTTCGATTTTTCTCTCGGCATCAAATTCCTTAGTATTACATAACTTAATTTTCATCTCATTAATCTTAAACTAAGCAGGTTACCGTAACCTTGATCCAGCAGTAGAGGAGGGTATTTGTCAGGTTCTTTCTTACATGTGGCTTGACGCAGAAGTTATGTCAGGTTCTAGAACCATGCCATCGATATCAGCGGCTTCTTCCTCCTCCTCCTCCTCCTCCTACTCGTCAAAGAAAGGTGTGAAATCCAAAGTCGAAAATAAATTGGGTGAGTTTTTCATGAACCAGATTGCTAATGATTCTTCCCCAGCTTATGGTGGAGGCTTTAGATCGGCTAATGCAGCGGTTAATAAATACGGCTTACGTTGTACTCTCGACCATAATTCGTTTGACTGGTCAGTTCCAATGTAATAAGAACATCTTCTATAAGGAGTTTGTATTATAGAGTTTGACGTTGGATAGGTTTATATCCAATAAGTATAATATAATTCACTACTATTATACCTTCCTTGTTTTAATTCAAGAGAATGTTCTTCTTATTTGATGACTTTCCTTTTGATCATTATATATCATTTGTGTCCCCGTGTCCGTGTTGGAGTGCGTCCTTCGTATCCGATAACATATAACATTTAATAACATTGTAATTTATTTACAGTTATAGTATGCGTATATTAAATCCTTATAGATATTATACATCAAATTATTACACATACATTATGAATCAAAGGTTTGATTCACATGAATATATAAAATAGGACTAGACCTTAGTATCCTCCATGAAACTGTCATCATCATCACTCTTATAACCATTAGTTTCCATAGCTTTCATCTGTACTTTCTTATAAATGTACCTCTTTTCTATGAAGAGAAAGACCAGCACATTCAAAAAACTTATAACTGCCAACAACCAATAAAACTTATCCAAACGGCTCGAGTTTATATCCTTCCCAATCCAACTTTTTGCCACTCTTCGCGGTTACATTGTCCACCACAATGATTAAAAAAGTGCTTAAGAAGCTTCCAATTCCAAACACACTAAAATACAATGCCAATCCCAAGCTTCTCATTGAGTCAGGAACTTCATCATAGAAATACTCTTGCATACCAACCATAGAAAACGCGTCCCCAACACCAGCGATCAGGTTTTGTGGTATCAACCAGTACACACTCATAGTGTTTAGCTCTGTTTCCCGTGTTCTCGAGAATTCATGATCAAGCATTCTAAGTCTCTTAACTTCTACTAAGGCTGAAAGAACCATTATCATAGCTGACAGTATCAAGCCGATGTTTATCCTGCAAAGGATACTGATGCCCCTTTCATTTCCGGTGATTTTCCTCATAATTGGAACAAAAACCTTATCGTAAATGGGGACGCCAATTAAGGTGCCAATGGCAGAAACAGAATTTAGGGAAGCTGGCGGAATTTTGAAACCGTGGCCTATGTTTAAATCTGTTGCAGCCGCTTGTCTGACAAAGAAAGTTGTGCCTTGTGCTCCACATGCTCCAGATGCTAACAAAGTTATCCATATAGGAACTATGTTCAATACAAGCTTTGTCTCCTCCACTCTTGTCAATGTTGCTAATCTCCATGGATTTACTTCCTGCTCAACATGTTCCTCTTCGATTATTGCAGCCTTGTCAAGAAACCTATTTGTTCATTTTTTCAAGTAATTAATATTTGATAAGTAGTGGTAATACGATAGGATAATCTAAGTCAAGCTTCGCAAGGCCCGAGTCTAACCTATTAACTGTCATGGGCTTATTTTAAGGTTTGATCTGTTTTATTTTTGATAAATAGTTCGAGCCGGGCCAAGCTAAGCTTTAAATAGACTAGGCCATAAGTACTTTTTGAACAATCTGGCCTATTCTTACTCGTAATTTCAACAATTCGTCTCAGTTAGGTAAGGTGAATATGTGATACTGATACCTGAATCTTCTGGTATGGCTCAGAAGTCTTCCTTGAGATTGATCTGAAATTGGAACTTGATACAATAAATCTGGATTTGAAGGACAGCACAAACCCCTTTTCCTTATGGCCGCAACTAGGACCTGTAAAATTGGCAATAGAGGGTTTCCTTCCGTCTTTCGGTACCTGTAAAATGGCTTACCTAGCCAGAAAGTTATGACAGCAATAGCCATAAAGCTAGTAAGTATTAGAGTTGAAACTCCCCAGTTGACAAAGTCTTGAACATAAACAATCACTGTAGAACTAATCAGCACTGCAAAGCACAATCCAAAGTTCCACCAGTTGAAGAAAGACAGTTTCTTCTTCATTTCTTCCAAATGACCATCATCAAATTGATCAGCACCAAAGCTTTGTAAGCATGGTCTAAATCCTCCAGTTCCCAAGGATTTAGCGTAAATGGCAAGAAAGAAAACCACCTCGTGAACTTTCCTCGGCCGATGACATATCCCCGTATTGCATGACTTTAGACTTGGGATGTATTGAGACATCGTCAACAAGCATAACCCCTGATTTGAGTTTCACAACTATAAATTAGGCTTATTTTTCACGGAAACATGTATATCAGTGTTTGCGTATCACCTTGTTCAGCCTGCTTTTTATCTAAGTTAGGATAAACGAGGTGATAATGGACGTAATAAGTTTCTATATAAAAAGTACGCTAAAAAAGTTTAAAATATTTACCATCATATATATTAGGGATGACAATTGGACCATATAAAACCGACCGGTGTACGCATCAGCAACAAATCCTCCTATTAGAGGCATTAGAGTTGTTACTCCATACCAGTTGTTTACATTCTTAGCAGCTGTTTTGAGGTCTTCATGAATCACTTCAGTCAGGTAAGTTATAAGGTTCATTGATATTCCATAGTGACTCATTCTTTCACTAATTTCAACCACTGCTCAAAATCAAATAAAAGGTTCTTCTTGTTATTCATTCAACATGCATGCTTGAACACAATTTAACCGTTGATGAAATAAACTAATGATATCTTACTGATGACAATGAGAGAAGCCTTCCATGCACCGGTCGAACCGCGGAGAGGAACTCTTCCTTTATAATCAAAAGAACCATCATACACCCATTTTTCTTCATTACTTTGTTCACTTTTTTCTCCTTTTCTCTTCTCCATATCTTGCTTCATCTTTACAAATGGAAGAGACAAGTTCAAGGGTTTGTTATATACACAATTGAAAAGGAAGTGTGGTTTCTATGATTGGTGATGTCATTAGGGAGTGACGTTTGAAGTGCATGTGTAAAGGGAATTACCTCTTCAGTTTGTTATGCATTGTTGAAAATGAAGCTGCAAATATAATACAGGAATTTAAATGAATCTAATAATTTTAAAATCTTGTTTAAAAATTATGAAATGGACCTTTTTAGTTCATAATCAAATGATTGCAACTAATGATATTTGGTTTGATCGAATACAATACGTTAATATTTTATACCGATTATAACACACGGTTTAAAATATTGCAATATTAACATTAATAATAATAAATATAAATATTGAATAAAGGCTGGACATTTAGGTTTCCAATCTTTAACATGACTCCTTAGAATAAATGTTAAGAAATAAATATAAAAATATTTTTCTAGGAAATTATACACTGTATTTATTAAAAATATATAATTTAATTTAATTTATTCTTTTCAACACAAACTTTCTATTCTGAAATTTCTTAACATATGTTCTAAGAATACATTGTTAACATTATCTTTTGAATCTCACTTGTTATATTTTTAAATAGTTTTTCTTTTATTTGTTATTAACTTTATTTTTATTTTAAATTATATTTAAAAATTATAAAATTAAATTAAATGTTTTTATTTTAATTTTCGTCTTATTTTAGAGATTTTTTTTTTAATTAATTATTTATTTAATTTTAGAAATGTAAAAATTATAATAAATATCAAAAATATTTTTTTTCCAGATTAGTTATTTCTTAGATATCAATTTGTATCAACTTGTATCATATTCAATTTCTGATTAATCATTATGCTTTCAAGAAAATTATGATTTATCAATTTAATTTTATTATATTTTTTATCATTTAACTTGATTTTCCTACACTATAAATAGTTCTAAAAACTACCTATTTTTGCTTTCAAAACCTTTTTTCGAATCTCAAATCTCTCCATACACTTTTTTTTTATTTAAAAAGTCTTACAATTTTCATTCACAAAATTCACAATTTTCTTTGCTTTTGTATTTTATTTTTCATCTTTAATCGTTATGGTCTCTTTTTTCCTTTCAAATTAATTAATTATATAATTTATTAATAATTAACACATATTTTCCCACATTCACACACAATTGTAAACAGTTCTCTCACACGTGACTTTTACACTAAAAGTTCACATTCTTTTACACAAAAAAAAAAAAAAAAAAATATATATATATATATATATATATATATATATATATATATATATATATATATATATATATATATATATATATATATATATATATATATATATATATATATATATATATATATATATATATATATATATATATATATATATATAACCATTCCTCTTTCTAACAATTTATATTATTAATTTTATCAATCTTGTTTCATTCAAACTTTAATTAATTACTTTTTTTTTCTTTTACTAATCTGACAATTTTAAAACAATGGCCATCTGAAGAAATGGCAATACAATGTCCCTTTATTGAAGAAGAAGACCAACAGTGAATCAAAAAAATCTTGAAACAGAAACAATAACTCACAATACAAATTTGTAGAAATTTTTGTTTTTACAAGAAAAAGAGAATATCAAAAGATGGGAGAAAAGGGGTTCCGTTGCACTAGGTACCTTTTGTAGTTGAGAATTATGCATTTTTGTGAGAAACACACCACTTATATACTTAAAATTGTTGGAACAGAGGATTCAAGAAAGATGATTTTATAAAAAATAAGAAGAAAAAGAAGAAGAAGAAGAAGAAGAGAGAGAGAGAGAGAGAGAGAGAGAGAGAGAGAGAGAGAGAGAGAGAGAGAGAGAGAGAGAGAGAGAGAGAGAGAGAGAGAGAGAGAGAGAGAGAGAGAATATGAGTTAGTTAAGTGTAACTAACTTTCTAACGGAATATATTATTATTGCAGCTACTTCATTACAAACATAATAGCCCTTTATATAAGCAAAGTGCTCAGGCCCAAATAACTATATAACAAGAATTAACTAACTAACACACCCCCTAATTCATGTTATCAAGACTTCTCATCCTGATGTCTTTCTTTAACTCTTCGAACCTCACTTTCTTCAGAGGTTTGGTAAATATGTCAGCTAGTTGCACTTCAGTCTTGCGATATTTTATTTCAAGCTTCTCTTTGTTGACTCGATCCCTCAGAAAATGATACATTTTTTCAATGTGCTTACTTCTACCATGACACACTGGGTGATTCGCAAGGTTTATAGCTGACTTGTTATCAATAA